TTTCTTGACTTATTGAGCATCCCATGGCCAGTGTGACTGGGGTCAGAAAGAATTTTGTCTCCTCCTCCCTTGCCTGCTGTCGTACAATGATGCTGACATGGGGTTGCACCGGGTAGTCTGAGAAATGTGCTCCTGCCCTTTCATAAGCCTTGCTCCACATGACGTAGCTTCAGTATTAAAAGGTCTGGTGTTGGAGGGGCAGATAGCTTGCACTGCCTCGCAAGCGTACATCCTGCCTTGGACCTGAAGTCTGAGGAACAACCAACTAGTGACTTGTATTTGGGGGTTCTGAGTGGAAAACAGTTCCTGGGTGACCCTGTCCTAGGACTGACCATGGTGTCAGTCCTTTGGCTCTCTGCTGTGCCTGCTGTTCTCTGCCAGCATTCCTGGCTGTGAGCCACTTTGTCCAACCTCATTCCATCACTAGCCTACACATGGTTTTGAGAGGACTCAGCGGCCTGGGCCAGAAGCAAGGAGCGGAAGCCCTTGTCTCCGAGGAGCTCATGTCAGCCTCAGTGCGTCTCTTCCAGCAGCCCTTCAGTGCATGTGGGCTAAACCCTGGCGTATCCCTCCACGGCAAGGGCATGTGCCGGCAGCGTGGGTCTCTGTGGTCCTCAGGCAGTGACATGGAGACTAGTGGGGTTTGAAGGGCTCGATTCCTGGCTTCTGCTTGCATCCCTGGGTGACCCCTCCTGCCAGATGTGCTGACACGTGCCTTCGTTTGCCTTGCCAGCCTGCTGGAGAGGAAGGAGCTGTGGCGCAGACAGATGGAGGAGCGGCTGCAAAACCTGCCAGATCCTGACACGCCACCTGGTCATACCATGATGCCAGAGGGCCAGCGGCTGGAGACCCTCAGCAATCTGAAGCAAAGTAAGAGGAAAAGAAACAAGGATTCCAGCTCAGAAAAACAGGCAATCCTAGCCAGGATTAGGGAGAAGAGAGTTCGAGAAGAGAGTTCTGGGGCACAGATTCCTGCCACTTGGAGAGTTGCCTGGAATAAGGCATGTAGCTGGGATGTGAGCTGTGTGCCAGCAATCTCCTTCAGGTTGGTAGGACCTGCAGGTTACAGGACTGGCTCTCTGGAGCAGGCTTGTCCAGTGGACCTGATGTTAGGGTTACTATTGGTCTTAAAATGATAGAAAGATTTTGGTTGGAAGGGACCTTCAGAGGTCTCTAGTCCAACCCTTGGTTCTTCAAAGCTGGAGCAGGTCACTCAAGTCCTCATCCAGCTGAGCTCTGAATAGAAGGATGGGTATTACAAGTCCTTGTTCCAGTGCTGCCATCATTTTCACGACTGAGGATAAGGTCACAGAGTTAGGAAAAGGAGGGATTTCTTTGCTCTTCCACAACTTTTTTTTTTTTTTTTTTTTTTTTTAATTTTTT